AAATATAACCTTGTGTTTTTCGTTGAAAGATAAAGATATTATTGCCCCATTCTATCCACATAAATAATAATATTTGACCACCCGTAAAAAAAATAAATACAGAAATAATCTATGGAACAATGAAAATAGGAAGGATTTGTAGTAACGAGCCTCTTCGCCGATGGTATTAACGTTGCATCCAACGTGAAAGACATATATTTGCATATCAATTATATTCTGCCTACACACGATGCAACATTATACTTCGATATACTTGGCAGACAATAATACGCCACGAGTATTATCTCCCGGGCAGCCACCTACAACGTTTCGCTATTGTAAAACGCAATAACCGCTTATTCCGCCAGGTTTCTCAGTTTCCTTCCACGTTTCTATGCGAAATCCCCGCGCGTGTCCCCCGCGGGAAACTGATTCAAATCAGAAACAGATAATTGCTATTTTTCTTCTACGATTGCATTTGTTCAACACTGCAACTATATCGAATCGGTCAAATTATTTAGATTACAATAATATAGTTATAATTATGAATAATTATATAGTTACATATAACTATCGTTACATTATGTTACATGTAACACATTACTATATTATTCATGATACAATCTAAATAATTTGATTGGACGACACTCTGCGATATAAATAATTAAATAATTTCATTTAGACTGTACTGTGAATAATATAGTTTCTAATTATATGGTCATATATAACTATATTATTCGTAATACAATCTAAATAACTTGACTGACTTGACAGTTGCAGTGTTAAACAAGTGCAGCCAAAAGATAAAAGGAATTATCAAATCACCAAAAATTAAATATCAAAATTAAAAAATATATATATATATACATAATATATGTATAACTATAACTATAAATAAATATAATTATATATAAGTATAATTATTAATAAATAATATGGTTATAGTTATTGTACGTATTATAGATTATTACAGAAAAGAAGGGAGGCCTCCCGTATCCTTCAAGACATATATATGTATATATATATATATATATATAGTATATGTATAACTATAACTATAAACAAATATAATTATATATGAGTATAATTATTAATCAATAATATAGTTATAGTTATTGTACGTATTATAGATTACTACAGAAAAGAAGGGAGACCTCCCGTATCCTTCAAGACATACCCTTCAAAGGATTTCAAGAGGCATCCGTCTGACAAAGATTCGCGATACGATCTGGAACACTTCGCGAGAAGATACTTAGGATGCGTGGATTACCAAAGGGGGATCGTAATCCGGCCTCCCACGATGCCCCTAAATTTAACGTTTCTGATGGATCATGAGAGGGCTGAGTTTTTCTCGAACCCTCGCCGACCGTGTTTCAGATCCACGTGACGAATCGAAACTCCAACCCTCTCTGTTGCTTTTTCCGCTGTCTGATTTTTTTTTTTTTTTTTTTAGAAATTAGAACGTGACAGTCTCGAGAACGAAAAACGCGAAGGAACGAACTGTTGGGAACGATTCCTCGCAAGGAATTCTCTCGCTGAGAGAACGTCGTGCGTTTCGTAAAAACACGATCCTGCAAAATTGCAAACGAATTCACGGCCGTTTCCGGAGACCGTTCGCCCCGATAACGCGTGATTATCTCAGCTCGACTCGTCTGAATGGGTGGCGAAAGTGGCATCAACGATAACGATCTACCTGTTGTTTTCGAGGATAGCGCGCCTCAAAGAGCAGATGCGCCATGAACCTGTTCTTGAAACCATTGATCTACGCAGGCACGCACGAACGCGATTTCGACGCGTTTATTCACCGAGTGCGTGCACCGAAACTTCGTTTATTCCCTCTGTCGAATTATTTTCGTCAAGCACTTGAATTCCTAGCGAAACAGCTTGTTCGTTGAAACGCCGAAGGTTTGTACTAAGAGCAATAATAGAAAAGAAAAGAGTGTCTTTCGTCGCACCTGTTCCCAGATTGGATTTAAAGATCGTCATTAATCACGGTCGTCGAATACATCGCAACACCGGAAAAGAAAAAAAAAAAAAAAGGGACACAGTTCCCATCGTGCTTAAACGATCCTGTTTACCTGTGCGACCAAGGAGGGAGAGGGGAAGCGATCCATCATCGCTTTGGCGACAGCGGCGCTATCGAAATCGCCGCGATATAGGTATACAACTCTCGATGCAGTTTCCCTTTCAGCGCAGAACAAAGCGCGTGTGCGCGGGCGTACATCCATTAGGAATCGCAGTGAACAAAAGCAGAGAATAGGATCGCATGTTTCGTTAATATTCCCCTCTCAAACGGCCCCCCCCCCCCCCCCCCGTTCGTAGGCCTTTATTGTTTCGTTAAAGTAAAGCGAAAATGAAAATACACAAGGGAAATTTCCAATTTTCACGCGTCCGTTTGTAACTTGAAAATTTGAAACGGATCGTCGAGATGTGTCTCAATTAAACAATTTCCTGATCTGAGCAAGTATCTCTTTATCTGGTCTCAATCTTCCATGAAAATACGATTTTTTTTTTTTGGCCCACTGTCCATTCGATACGCCCGAAAAAAAAAAGATCCGAATTTTTGTGCAGGTTCGTTTACACCGCAGCGAGGATAGGGTAAAAAAGGGACGGTCGGAGGGCCATTAAGAGACGGTAGGGAAAAAATGTTTCTTATTCGAGGAGGGACCGCAACGCGGCTCGTTTCGGTCTCCTCTAATCTCGAGGCGTACCGCGAAAAGATGGAGCAACGCGTCTCGGCTAGTCGGAGGCATCGTTCTTTTTGGTGGCAGCCGATGATGGCTTGTACGAACCACAGGGGAAAACGAAAGGACCAACAAGAAAACGCGACGTTCCGGAAGGTGGCAATTACACTACCGGCAGAAACTCTCCATCAAGCCTCGATGGATGCTCGATGAAAGAATATAGGTACGTTTCCACGACGAGTAATCGGTGAAAGATCGGATTGACGATTGATGATGATACGTCTCGGTATTTCCAGTGAAAATTACACGCAACATTGTTCGCGTCTTGCAAATTGCGGGGAATGTTTTATGATTATTCGACGAGCTCGAGAAGTTTTCGTAATATTGAGAAACTTTAACTAAATGAAATAAAATATAACTTTCGTCGCGCGAAATCGCAGTGTAAACGTATAACGTCTTATATCACTGATAATATTGCACGAAAAAGAAAAAGAATAACAGCGGAATAAGTTACTTACGATGACATTAATTTATTTCTTCAACAATATTGAAAAATTGCCCGGTACTGTACAACTCTCCCCCTACTGTACTTTGCATCCTCTTTTGAATACCCAAAAAAGAAATTCGCATCTTAAGGGATGATCCACTAAAAACCGACCGATTTGTAACGTTTGACAAAAGGAACGTTTTCAATGGCACAGCCTCGAAAGTAGGTAGAACGATCTTTAGAAAAATCTTGGTGGGCTCGCGATGAGTCATCCATGGAGAGTGAATGAAATATTTTCGCGTTTAAACGTGGGATTTGCTCCAGGTAAATGGGCTATTATGCGGGTTAGGTTCTAGAATCGATGCTGGAAAGGATGGAAAAAGAGCAAATACTTCTGTCTGAGCTTCGGATCGAGTTTACTGTCAATTTAACTCAAGTATCGATAATTGGCTCTGCCAATTGAGTTGAGATTGTACGATTCATTAAAGAATCTCGCAAGAGATTCATAGCACAGTTCCTTCTACATTTTTATTATGTTGTAAATGCCTATTCATAGCGGTTATTAGTTATCTATTTTAAAATAAAAAGTTACGTTACGCTTTAGTTATGCAGAGTACAGAGTCGCCTGTTCGAAAGAAGAAAAACCAGATACGTAGTTCCAAGAAAGACGTGCGTTTCAAGATAACATTATTCGCTGATGAATTTCCCACGTACTCAACCTTACAACTTCGTCCAGCAATTGCAATTTCCATAAACCAGTTTAACACGATGTGTTTTTACACGCTTACAATGGAAGATTAGAAAGAAAGAATTTTAAGAGAGTTAGGGGAAAAACTGCGGTTCTTTTCTTTCAAATCTATTCTACGGTATTACGATTAATCTCGAGAAATTGTGTAATAACTCGTGGTACAATTTTTCGAATAACTAAGGATAGAGCCACAGTTTAGGTCAGTGTACCTGAATTTGCCGCGTACCTGACACAATTAACAACGAAAGAAGCATTTACTAAGCCTTTAAAAAATGTTATACGTACAATGTGAGTAAGTATTCGAGTATTTTTGTAGCTAGCGTATTTCGAATACCACTCGAGAACATTCGTGACTCATTGGAAAGAAACTCGTAAGTTATTTCAGAGCACGATGACATTAGGCTGTGAATAAAAATTTGTTTGATCAATGGCCAGAAAGGCGACAGTGTCGTGAAATTCCGATGGGAAGAACAGCCCGGTACGAGTAGGATCGTGAGCGGATTATTTGCGTGTTTACACCGAATAAAAAGCTAATCGAAACTATCCGTTAGTTACAGAGTCACGAAGATGTCAAACAGGGAAATATTTATCCTTGATTCGACTGTAACTGCATTGTGAGAAGTTTCGTTTCTATTTTTAGCATCAATTCTATAACGATCGAAACGTTACATTTTTAAAAAGAATTTCAAGTCGATCGTATATTAAACTTTCGTTTAACTGTTTCTATTTTCAAACATGATCGATACGACGTCTAAATTCCAATAAATCAAATCATTATTCTTGTTCTTTTAACGCGGGAGGAAATGAAGATTTGAAATTCAAATGTTGGAATGCCGCCATTTTTGAAATTTTCGATATAGCTATTCTATGGTATAACTGCTAATATTCATTGAAAATCAGCCATCCAGGAACTTTAGAATTTTAATTATCTTCATTTATAACAAAATTCTTGAGATACGGATACACGTACATATATGTGACGAAGATGATGCTAAAAAGTCTCACTGATGCTCAAGTCCAAGTACGTTACATTTATAAATTCGCGTATACACGCTTGAAATAGATCTGAGAATAAAAAATGAAATAATGTGGAAATACTCACTTTGACTGTAGACAGCACTAGCAATGACTAACAGCGCGAGTGTTCCTCTGAGCTTCATGTTCACCGGCTTTCTTCCGTCTTTCTTGTGAATTTCAGTCAATTCCCAATACCACTTGAACTCACTCACTTTCGATTCTCGAAATCGCCGATATTAGTCGCAGCGCGTCGATTAACGATGAAACGGAACCGCGCAATGTTCATTGGACTGTGTACCCGTCACGTACAGGCAATCTTCTTTTCGGTTATCAACGACAAAATAATACGTTTCCCATTCATAAAATAAAAGGGAAGAAAAAAAGGAAACTAATGTAACGTGTACTCGTCGGAAGTCGAGATCGGATCTACGTCAACGTAGAGACGAGACTGTAAAAGCGCACGCCTTTCTTCGGCAAACGTGACTTTTCTCTTTCTTTCTCCCTTATACCCTCTCTCTTGTTCCGTCCCTCTGAATGGTGCACCGTGAACCGGAGCGTGCAGCACTTTCCACGAGGAACGCGATGAAATACCGTTTGATACTTTATTCCTTCTTACCGTCTTGCTTGTTCCTTACGATACTGTCCAGCAATATAATAACGCGATCACGCAATTGATGATTTAGGCACGAAAGGAGAAATTTTGTCCAATCTCTATTCCTTTTCTTTTTCCCTCTATCCGGATTGTTATTCGATTTCTTTTACTTTCTCAAACGATGGTGGACAATTTGGTGCGTTGAAAGTCACTTGATTTGAGCCGTGTCAGTGACTCTGGCACCGAAATCTAGCCGAAAGAAAATTGGGATGAAGGAAACAATCAGGAAATAGACACGACCCGCACCGTGTCGCGGTTCGCAAACGAATGCCAGTGAAGTTGCCGCTCTTCCGAATTCCGTGACTACATAGGTGTGCGTGCGCCGTATCCCTCCTCCTTCCCCCCGCGCACCGTGTAAATTTAGTTATCCCCACCACCGCTGCTTCTCGGTTGTGCGCACCATCTTCCCCCTGTTATAAATACACCACCGGTGTGCAGCATTCGATTAGAAATAGTTCCGTTCTAATTTCTTTTCTTTCAAAGGCTCTTTTAATTTATATAATCCTGCGTTTGAAATGGAATTCGATCCTTTTGTGCAGGTTATTTCTTTGAAGAAAAAAAGAAAAGAAAAGAGTAAGAAGAAGCTTTGGAAAAGAAACGCGCGAGCAATTGTTACATGCAAAGATGCAGGTTGGTAATTTAATGTTGGAAGTACCAATAATTGGAATGTAAAATTTATATAAAGAATATCGAAATGAAAGGTATATGCAGATTTATCTATTTTGTTATCTTATTTGCATCTATTTTGTAAAATACCATTAAAATTTTTGAATTCATTGTTGCAAGTCTATAAAATTTTGTATGGAAAATTACTGTGAAAGTGTTGATTCAGTAATTTTCACCAGTTATTATTGCTAGTTCTTTCAATTTTTAAAGACAAACTGACAAAAGTCTCCATCGTAATCTAAACTCGCAGTACGAATTCGAGGATGCTCCGGTTGTTTTGAGGTTATCGATCTTCGTAGGTAGAAGATTTCTTTGTAACATTTCATTTAATCATATTTAATATAATTTTTTTGTTATTTCCAGGATCATTTTAAATATTTTGAAATTCCGTGTATGAAGTACATGAAACATTTCAATATCTCGTAATGATCACTGTTTCCCACGTAAGTTTCTTTCACAATTCTAATTTAATATCTTACATCTTTCTTTTGCAATTTATTTATGTTGTCGTAATATGTTACTGTAGCAAGTAATAATTTTTTAAATGTCATCTTGAAATAAATTTCAATAAATGTCGTCCAATTTTTCGCGGAACATTAATTTTAAATTTATTCGCTTGTAGATTTCGAAGAAGACGATTTCGCGTGGATAATTGTTTTGAGCAAGATATCTGCACATGCGCGACCAGCTTAATTCCATTCCTTACTTTTTACCGGTCTCGAATCCGGTATATCTTCACTTCCTTTATTCCCACTGTATTTAGCTGAGCGCGTGTGCGGTCGACACGTCAATTATATCTGAATCGAAGGCGACGTTTCATCGTGATTACGCCACAAAATAAAAGCAATCTGGCTTTTCGTTAATGGGTATGAAGATTCAGACCTGTTTGCACCATTATGATTATACAGTGATCGTTATAAATAAATTCGAAGTCTTAATAGCAAACAATAAACCTATTTCTATAGAAAATTATTGCATTTTTGCTCATTCAACTTGAGCGTCTTATGTGCGTGTAACATCATGCTAATTATTGAACTTAATAATCTATTATTTGTACTCAGCACTTACATGTATGTATATTTTTCTAGCGTAACGCGTAATATACTGTTCGAAATTGGGACAACGAATCTTAATCGAGGAAACAAGCAATATTCCAGATGAAGTTAATATCACCTCTATTATAATTTAATATATAGTATATAATATTGTAATATAATATATTTGTTAAATTGATTAATGTAGTACATTCTATTGCATAGTAATGATTCAATCATCTGATAGAAATTAAGTGGTTCTATTTTCCATGTTTCAGTTCTAAAGGAACAAAGGATTATCCGCAGGGAATAATAAGTACTGAGCTGACTTTTTCATTGAATCAGAGAGAAACAAAATTGTGACGTAATATCGAGGTGTTTCGCACAGTTTGTTCACAATACACCGTTTTATCATTAGCCGTGGGGAAAGAGAAGCGTAGGACTCCGCGATTTATGAATGATTCGGAGGAGTGAATGAACGGGGTCGACGCATGCGCACTACCGGTCAGATTCCATTCCCATTCCGATCTCGCCTCTATTCTCACTGCTTTATCCTTTTGCCGCACTCCACGTAGGTACCGTGAACGCACAACAGCTGTAGAATTTATAAAAAGATCTGTCGGACTGGCGGAGCCCTTATCAAGGTCTCTTCACCACTATAGCGGCGAGACGTTGAAGGGGAGAAGAACGCACATTTCTTTCACCGTTACGGAAATATTTACACTACTACATAGAGGCCAAACCATGCCTGCTGTCGGCTTTGTATTTTCATCAAGCGACAAATATGATTTTTCCTGGTACTGTTGATAACAGTTGAGGTGCTGTTACTTTTCCCACATAGATTTTTTTATCGGACTGTCCTAAATAATTAACTTCTTTTTTATTACACAGTGACTGTAGACACAACATTGACTCAATAGAGAAAAGAAATATAAATGAGAGACAAGTTCTTGTTTTTAGAATTGTTTAGTAATAAATAGAGTTCTTTTATGCAATAATTCCAGCTAATCATATTTACGACTTGGCATTAAAATTGTCAAGTCATAAATTGTAGACTGTTCTTTTTTACCAAATTATTGAACGTATTTTCAGTTGGAAAAAGCAAGAGCTTCAGATGCGATCGCACTTGAGGAGTTTGGAAGATCACTATTTTTGAAAACAGTCGCCATACAATTTCCTAGAATTGGCACGATTGCATCGTTAGTATTCAACGGCATATTACCATAAATCAAACAACTGTATCCACTTTTTTTTAAAAGAACAACTTTAATAGATTTTTCAGCATGATTAGATATATCGACATCTGAAGACTTAAATCTGCAATTTTCGAATTTCCAAAATTAAATTACATTTTCTACTGGTATAAAAATATATTTTTCCGACATGTAAATTTTTTTTATTGGAAGTAAAAGTAATATGCATAAATTATAATTGCAAAATGATTTGCATAAATTCTGTGCATCGAGACCTTGAAGAAAAAACATTTGTAATGCATATAACAACATCGTCATATAATGCAATCATAATAGTAAGTTATAACCATGAATGAAGATCTTCACTCGCAGTTGACAGTCAAAAGGTGACAAAGCTACTGAATATTGAACAAACAAGGATTGTAAAGTTATGGTCTGATTTATTTATGAATGTATTTTCTCCTACGGTGAAAACTGTGTAATTTTCTTCTACCATCGCAACTTTCGATCGTAACTTCTCGATATTCTAACCGGCTGATTTAATCTGGTGAGTACAGGTCGTTCAAAGTACGTGAGAAAAATAGAAAGTATATAGTTGATCTTTTTTTCTGTAGAGCTTCAGGGAAACCGATTTTAAAGATGCTTGGACTACGTGAACTTTCAGTTAAATCCAAATTTTACGAGTCTCTCTGGATCTTTGTCAAATTCTTATGTAAATTTTTAAATGCAGATTTAAAAATGTTAATTTTGCAAAAACTGTGATAATATCACTTACATCTTAGTAATGACTTAATATGATACTTCATTGTAGAATCAAACAAAGCAGTCGTTTCAAGTTGTTAATTATTTCAGTAAATTTAAACAGGCAATCAAGAACAATTTAAACGTGACTAAGATCGCAAAATTTTTGCGAAAAATTTGGACAAACAACGGTATTAATTAAGCCAATACGAAACGTGATATGCAACAATTACAATTTAATGGGGCCAGGTCACGGTGAAGAGCGCACTGCAACATAATTGTTTATTAAGGAACTCGTCGCCCACGTTAATTGAGAAGTTACTGTCGAATTGATAGTACCGACGTAAAATAACCTTCATCGCAGCCGAAGCATTCTAATTAGCCCTGGTCTCACGACAATTAAATGAGAAATGTTTGGGAACGCTACACGGTGTAGTATATTAACTCTCGTGATTTTTAATTTTATGATACATGGAAAACAATTATACTCTTCTTTTGTCAATCTATTTCATTCAGAGAAAAACACTGAATTAATTACGATTAATTACGATTAATAATTAGTGATCATTAGTACCATCAATTTGCTTTTATTAAACTTAGTCTTTGAATAATTATCAATTGATAGAACAATTCATTCACTATTCTGCCTGTTTGCAGGTGTTATGTTCAAGACAAATGTCGTAGCAGCACTTTTCCCATTTGTCGCAATCCTTATCATCGTTGCAAAGAATTGGCGGCGGTAAATGCCAATCGTATGTTCGTGCACAATGAGTTCTCAACGGTGGACAATGTTTTTCGGGTTCTTCACGAACGTATATTTCCGACCAAACAAAGTCGATTAGCGGAGGTTCAGCGGCGATCATCAGTGGATAGAGGAAGAAATGCCAGATGTATTCCAGCCAACTCTCAGTTTTTCCGCTTGGACAGCAATAATATCGATGATCGATCGTCCTACACCAGTATCTGCAAAGTTGCCCATGATCTTTTCCGTGAGCTTTCATTGCGCAAACGTAAATGGCGAAACAAAGTACTACGATGAATCTGGACATCCTGAAATGCTATTATATATTGGTAGACAATATTATATATTGGTAGATATATTAGATATAAGAGACCGTAGATATTTATTTTACAAGTACTATAAAATTACAAGTATAATAATCCAGATTGCGATGTTGGTTTGTACATTCTTTGCTTTAAAGTGCATTATACAAAAAGCAATTGTGAAAGAAAAAGTTATGAAAACAGAAATTGTAACATAGGTATGTAAAAGATATTCCTATATCAAGCACTTTAAGTGATGCAATTTTTTTAAAAAGATAGAAATTTTTGTGATATGTTTGATCATTTTAGTGAGCTTTCAAAGAGATAAATAGAATATGTTTGCTACTCACTTGGATTCCGAGTTCCGTCTAAAAGGGACGGCGCAGCGGACATCCTTATAAGTGTCGGAAGAACTTTTCTTAGTTAAACTTCAGTCACGGAACATTTATAAATAATCACCGAACAATGAGAAAAACGTCAGAAGTCTCATTAGAAATCTCATTCGACGGAACGTCGAAGCGACATTGTTATGAATTCAGCGAGAATACAAAATTTAGCAATCATTTGAGAAAACCACTTTCCATAGAAAGCAGTACCGCACATAAATTGTTTCTGCATTGTTTCCGTTTAGAATAAAGATATTGTCAGGTGCAAGTTTTATAGAAATAGTTTTCTCTCATGAGAATATTGCTTGGAAAGAAGATGGTGAGTAATTTTCAAACTCGATAGTTAGTTCTACGTTAAATACATTGCATCTTATTGGATATTTTATTACAAAACTTCATAGATTTATCATCTGCTTTTAGGGAATTTACAATGGTTTCAGTCTAAAAACGTTCGAATACTTTCTACTTTTTGAACTACTATTTGAACAAATAATAAGTTATTCCCTTTTCAATCATCTTAGTCACCAAGTGACATCGAAAAATAAAAGAATGATCCTATCACACTCCTTCTGTGTGTTCTTTGTACGTATAAGTTATATATACAAATTATAACATGTGTAAAATATCGATTTTCGAGCGATTCAAGTGTATCTGTATTAGATAGTGCATCTGGCTAATACCAATCGTCTAGTAAACTACTAGCATATATCACTGCTAAGTTACTAAGAATTTTGATCGTCTAAACAGGCTAGAAACGTTTTAAAATCGAATGAACATTTGATTTATATGAAAATTCCATTTATTGTTAATATATATATCTCAAAATACGTGGAGAATGTATAAATTTAGAATTTTAAATGAAAAGAGTTGTGACTTTAACAAATTGAATTGTAATCAAAGAGAGCGTATAAATAGAAATTTTCCCTAAAACGTAGTAATACTTAATTTTTATGACTAATATTTACGACTTGATAATTGTATTTAGAAAAAAAAAAGAAAATTTCATTATTGCACCTTTTGATTGTTTACGCAACAAAGATAAAATCTTGTTACTTGATCTAAACAAATATTCGAGTATCGAAACAAAGAGATTAAGAATTTTAAATTTGTTGAAATTCTTTAATCACGTTTTCAACAAAAAAACGTCGTGATAAAAACTTTCCCCCTCTCGAAACGTGGTAACATCTAACGAAACACGTTGCCAATTTTCACGAATGAAATCACAGCGATCTATTCTACAAAAGAAAAGAAGCCGTTCGTTCATTGTTATATTTTTGCTTTCGGTACTGCGCAGTTTCAAAGGAATAATTAAACGGGGGATAAAGGTAGAATCCTTTGTATGTTCATTCAATCAAATGTACGCATAATGGAAAGTTGGCCGAGGATTGGTCGAAAGCGTTGGAGCCACGGAGCCCACGGTGTTCGTAATGACCTTAAGCCCTGTTCACATCGTGCAGCTTCGGTTAACGCATCGGTGAGTTTCTCGTAGAGTTTCTAGACGCATGTGTCGTCGTCGCCGACACATAATAAAGAACAGTTACGAATAATTACGAAGCGTCCTATCACCACGTAGAATACCGTCAGCCAGCGAACGAATCAGAGAAATCCGGTGGAAGTCACAGGGGAGACTTGCACGGCGTGTAATAAGTCCGTTCTTATTGCGCAGCTCGAGAATGCGAGCGCACGATTTTAAGGAATTTCTGGAGGAAAGATGCGAGCCAGCTAGCAGTGGTTAAGCAGTGTTGCCTTCTCCCGTGAAGCCTTCTCTATAGCGATATATACGAGAGTGTGCGTACACAAGCAAGCCAGTGCGGTGCATATTCAGTGTACGATAAAAATCGTTGCTCGGCGGAGCAACTTCTAACCCGTGGGTATAACGCGAGGTGTGTTGTGTGTAGTGTCCCGTGAAGGTCGTGAACTTTTTATCAAGATCATTCGAGAAGCTCGCGCGCACGAGAAAGCGGGGCACGAAAGAGCAAGAGGTTTTTAAAAAGAGAAAAAAGGGGAAAGGTGGACGATCCTCCGCGAAAAGCCTCGGTAAAATGGCGGTGATCGGTACTCCGATTGGCGCTAAGCGATAGAAGAGGATCGCGACTCCCTATTCACGCTCGCCAAGTTTTGTTTTGATCCTCTAGTTCGGCGCCTATCCTCGCGGAAACCGGCCGATCCACCTTCATCTCAAATCATCCGGTTTTACACTTCTCGGTCTCGGGATATACCATCTTTTTCTTTTCTTTTCGTTTCTTTTTTTTTTCTTTTTTGATTTTTCTTTCCTTCTTACCAATTATTACGAAATTAACAACGGCGTCCCTCTATTGACCGTCTCAGCGAGGTGATACAACCGTAGCCGAGGACGATCAAGGTGGTTGAGGGGAAACCACCGACGAAACGGTTTTCCACGGCCCGTGATGCCGCATCGTTCCGACCTCGAATTCATCGAAAGGCCACACGACAAGGACGACTCTATCGAATCCTTGTCGGCTTATCTATAGGTAAGTCTCCCCGTGCCACGAGTGCATCTCCGCTTTCACCGCTTTTACGCGTTAACCCTCGCTTCTGTTTTCGTCCCGTTGTTCTTGGACTCGTTCGTTCGCCGTTTCGAGGCTTGTCAATTTCAAACTGGCAGGCATAATTTTGAAACGAGGTTTTTTCACTCCCCTCTCCTCCTGCCTTCCGTGGACGGAGTACCGTCCGTTTGTTATTATTTTGCACGAAGCCGAGAACGAAGTCTTAAGTTAGGTTAGGCCCTAGAAACCGATGACTTTGCATCTTAACGAGAGCACAGCCTGTTTTCATTCGTGTCGTCCTTCTAACGGTATGAGCGTCTCGAATATCCAAGATTTTCACCGACAAGCCACCTCGCCGTTTCGTTTTTCAGGCAATTCCTTTGTTTACCCAGATTGTTCTCTCTTCGTTCTTTTGTAATCGACGACGTGTCGCGCGATTCCCTTATATAGGTTCTTCGAAATAACCACGTAACTGCGGCCGTGGTGTGTTTTGTCGCGATTTGTCATGTTTTCAAGGCTTATCGAGAGATTTGCTATTCGCTGCTCTGCAAATCGAACGTCGTGTCACATTCGACCTGTGCTCTCTGTTTTATACGTCTTTTCAATCGATACAAATTTTCTGTTTCGTTCGTGCTCGTGATATCGGGGGGGATTTTTTTTGGTCAAACGTACAATGGAAGGAAAAATTATCGATTCAAAGATATTCGCGTGTTAATGATAATGACTCTATTTCTGGCATTTGTATTGCCTTTGAAAAGCCATATGGACGATTTTTTTTTAACTGGCACCAAAAAATTACAGCAGTATTTTTATCTCGTGTCATTTCGTTGTTTTAGCGAAATTTTCTTTCTTTTTTTTGTTTTTTTTTTTTTTTNTTTTTTTTGTTTAGCGAACTGACGAATTTTGTCACTCTCGCGTGGAGTAACAATTTCACAATAAAGACAATTCTCGTGTAATGTAAGGAAAATTTGGTGAAACGCTCCAACATTTGTTTTCTAGAAAATTAATGTTTCGTACAATTGCAAAACATAACTTCAATTGTAAAAGTATGAACATTTATTAACATGATCATATCTATTGATTATGACGAGTAATTATGACGAGAGGAATATTATATAAGTTGAATCTTTTTATTAATAACATAATAAAAATTATTAACAGCAAAAGGATGAAATCAAATATTATGTAACAATTGACTTTGATTCTGATAGTATCATTAATTTTGAGAATATAGCGAGAGATACTAGTTGAAATTGTGTTATATTATATTTACATTTTACAAAGATTGTACCAGTATTTTATAAGTACATTACAAAACAATGTTTCAGATTTTAAATTCTTAAAAAGGAATCTTCAATCTGCCAAAATGAAAATTGATCGGAATAGATTGAGAAAGTACACATCAGAAGCGGTATGTATTATTTTAAAGACACATATTTGAACATGGATACATTTTTTACCAGAAATGCTAAAGAATATGTTGAATAATATTTACAGCCGGCAAAATGTCAGGCGCTTATAAACAAGCTACGCTCGTGCTCCCATGCAGAATTGCTAGAGGAGCTAAAGCAAATAGATGCATGGACTTTTGGTAAATGTGAACTGTTTCATTGGGTTGATGTGTTGGACCTCAGTGACAGCATTTTGGAAGAAGCTGCAGCTAAAAGTCCAGATAATCCATGGGAATTAGCTTGTGATCTTCCTCAAAATAGAGAGGTACATATAATTCTTATGCCATTTATAAATTATCATTCACAGCAAGTCTTATTATTATACGTGTAAATATTTTAAAAAATGATTAAAATGATTAAGAATTTTGTTTATTTTTATAGGCAAAAGAACTTCTCCTTTGGGTTCTCCATCTTACAACATTATTAATTGAACACTCATACTCGCGTCATTTGTACAGCAGTATGGAGCATCTAGTGACTTTGTTATCAAGCTGTGACATGCATGTTGTCCTTGGTGTATTAAATATTCTCTATATGTTCAGTAAACGTAGCAATTTTATTGCGCGTTTAAATAGTGACAAAAGACAAGCTTTATTAAGTAGACTTACTCTTCTGGCAGAGGTAAGATAAATGCACATTCAATGATTCATATTTTATTAAAATATTAAAAGTTTTAAATGTCTTCAATGTCATTTTAGAGTTGGGGTGGTAAAGAAAATGGATTTGGTTTAGCAGAATGTTGCAAGGAATATCCTGACAAGGTAATCAAAGTGCCGCAACCAGTTATTATCTTCAATATATATATATATAAAATTTCTCGTTGAATTTTTTCAGCCACTTCCAGCAAGTGCCACAACCTTGCATTTTGAGTTCTACGCAGAAAATTCCACAACAGATACGAACTCGACGTCAACCACTGGTACAAAGAAATCTGGACAGACGAATTTTGTAACGTGTATACATATAGAAAATGTGGACAAATTGGGTAAAACTCCAGCACAAATTATGAATGATTTGTTAAAAGTCAATAATGTACCCCAAGATCGACAGGTGAATGTCACTTCTATCAATATTTAACAAACATAATTGTTTAAAATATTTGAGTCTTTTGTTTTCTTTCCTTCTTTTTAGATTGCGTTGTTCACACATATAAGACTGGCACACAGTTTCTCTGACTACCGAAGAAGATTGCAATGTGTGCACGCTCGGCTACAAGCATTATCCATACTTGTATATAATAGCGAACTTGAAGAAAATGCACATAGTTTGCTACATCCTGGGCTTTTAGAAGAATTAGTTGAATTATTGGAACTTCCACACGCACACCTTGTTGAGTTACGAGCAGCTGCACTACGAACTCTTACTAGTATTATTCATTTAGATCGCAATCCACATTTCCCAAAGTAAGTGAAGGCTGCAGCATTATATTGAAACAAATATCATTTTTTTTTTTTTTTTTTTCATTTTATCTCCCGAAATTTTACTCTTTGTACTCGTTTACTGGATAATCTATTTTAATGATTTTCTAGAAAACCAAGTTCAAGATTAAATATGATAATCGACGTTAC